AGAGCGAGATGGGCAGCGTGACATACGACGAGGAGGCAGCCATGAACACCTACCTTGCCATCAATGCCCTGCTCGTGGCCGAGCTCCCACAGTTCAACCGGGTAGCTTTGCAGCTCCTGGGGCAGATACTGCGCTCCTTCAGTGCCCTGCAGTGGGACTTGGCTGCCCAGGTCCTGCAACAGGCAGAAAAGGAACTAGAGCAGGTGAGAGCAACCCCTTGGCGTGTGTGCACATGCTGAGCCAGAACTGCCTTCTTCAGGCTTGGGGCATCACTTGAGTGCCAGGGCGCTGAAGGTTTGCTGTAGCCCACGCCTGCCCTTGCAGACACACAGGTCCCTGTCTGGCATTTGTAGGGGATCTCTCCTCCCCTTCAGCTGGGGAAAGCCAAATTGTCTCTTCTTCACTGCCAGGAGCTGTCCTGCTTTGAGGACACCACTGGTAATTTATTGATGTGCTACCTGGGAGCTCAGTGTTGACTGAGCTCCCAAGAGCTCTGTGCAGGGAAGGCAAGGAGGAGAAGTACAGCTAATGGCCTGTGGAATGAGCATCCCTCAAACCTCCATCCTCTGGGAGATACCTCCCAGGGCTCCTCACTGCACAGCACTCCCTGAGCCTGACGTTTGCAAACATGGTGGGTCAGGCCAGGGCTGTGTTCTGCCTCAGGCTCTGGGCTGGCCTGACCCATGGCCAAGACGAGAACAAGATGCAGGAATGTGGAGGTCTCCTCTCAGGCACTGCTCATACATACCCAGTCAGGAGAGGGGATTCCCTTTCCTCAGCCTGGGCTGCTTTTGCTGCAGACATCTACCCCAGAGCTACATCCACCGGGCTCCCTTTTCAGTCAGGTGGGACAGACTGTGGGCTTGGGACAGGACAGCAGGACCCTGGGACTGCTGTAGTGGGCTGGCTACAGACCTAGAGCCCCGTGTGACCGCCCTGCCCAGGGCCGGTGGCTCAGAGCCAGAGAGCAGCAGCTCTCCTTGCCAAAGGGAAGGTGCATCTTTAGTGTCAAGGTCTGTTCTCCTGCTACAGCACCTCTTTTCTTCCTGTTCCTTTTCTTTTGACCCACACATGGCTTTTCTCCTGCCCAGGGCACTCTCTGTTATCAGGGTCTCTCTTCACAGATGCCCCATGGCCACATGCCTCTGCCCAGTTTCTGGAAGATGGTGGAAGACACCTTGCAGCAGTCTGGTGCTCAGCTCCGTACCTTCTGCCAGACCTTTGAGACGGTCACACCGAGCCCTGTGACACAGGTAGGAGCTGGGGAGGAAGTGTCTCAGGCCAGCTGGATGAAGAGGTGGGACTGTGCAGAACATCTCCTTGGGGGGGAGGTTGGCTCAGAAAGTGGCATGGAGGATTTCCACAGCCACAGTATTTCCCCAAAGCCCCGGATGGCAGCTGGCTGGGAATAACCAGGGATGAAACAGTCTCAGCTCTTCTGGTTCTGGATCCTCATTTCCAAACCATGAAGCAGAGCAGATACTGTGAAGGAGTTTCTACTCTAACCTCTCGCTGGGATGTGATCCTGCAGAAAGGAGAGCACAAGTACATGGAGGGCCTCAGCCTCCTGCCTGTTTCATCAAGTGCTCCTGTGTCTCTTGCTCCCTACCAGCCTCTGAACCCTGCTGAGGAACGGAAGGTCCTTTCTCTTGTGAGCAAGCATGGCCCAGACAAACTTTACCAAGTGACAAGCAACATCAGTGGCAGCAGAGACTTGGACCTGACCTTGCAAAGGGGACAGATTGTAGCTCTGCTTCAAAGCGTGGACACTAAAGGGAACACAAACAGATGGCTGGTGGACGCTGGAGGTACTGTGAGTGCTACAGGGTACCTCTCCCTGCCTCAGCACCAGGGTCAGAAACCAAACCCGAACCATTCCTCATCTCGGATGAAACAGCAGGCCATTGCCTCCCAGGTTCTCCCTTCCAGAGTTTGCTCAGCCCACCCCCACCCCTGCTTTGCCAGCTGCACCCATAGCCATTAGCTGTAAAGTTCTCGTTTCCCCATGAGGGAGCACTCATGGCTCATCATGGCTGGAAAAGGAAAGTCCCAGTGCACACCAAAACATCTGGAAACCCCTTTTGGGGGGGTTTTGCTGCTGGATGTCCCCTAATGGTGGACACTTTTGAACAGGGCTGCTGTGCCATGTCAGGCAACAGCCAAGTTGTCATTCCTCTCTCCTCCAACCAGTCCTACATGTGCCAGACAGTAGACCCCCATGACTTGTGTGTGTGCATGTCCTCCAGGTCCCCGTGGGTTTGTGCCTGCTGGAAAGCTCCAGCCCTATTGCCCAGTACAAAGCCAGCAGCCCGGGATGCAGATGCCAGCCCTGGAGAGCAGCACAGAGAGAAGGCAACATTCATATGCATCACCTGAAGCTCCCAGGCCCGAGGTGGCCACCTTCACCCCAGCTTTCCAGGTGAGAATGGGGGCCCCCAGGGCCATTCCTAGCAACCCCAGTGGCTCCATGCAAGTCCCTGTGTGTGCGGCATGGGGCTGAGAAGGTGGACCTGCTTTTCCAGCACACACATGGTCACACCTGTGCAGCCACATGCCTAGCAGGGGAGTGTCACAGCCCCATGCCAAGTGCCCCATGGGGCTGGTGTCTGACTTACTGTACCAGGGATGGACAGAGCAAGAGAACTGTGCTTGGTGGAGTCCCCAGCGTCCCTCCACTGATGGCAGTACTGTGCTGCCCTCTTGGAAACAAGCTCCACATCCCCTCTAGCTGCTGCCCTGCCATGTCCTTCCCCCTCTTTGACTCCAGCAAGGGCTTCCTCCCTCCTTCCACCTTTTGCAGGTGGTCGCCGGCTTCTCCTTCGCAGCCAGGAGCCCGCAGGAGGTCAGTATCCAGGCAGGGCAACCTGTGGTGGTGCTGGAGTCGCATGACAAGAAGGGCAGCAAGGAGTGGAGCCTCGTGGAGGTGAATGGCCAGAGGGGCTATGTGCCCTCCAGCTACCTGGTGACCGTCCCCGTGCAGGACACCATGGGCTGGAGCTTGCCTGTATGAGCATGGCCAGCCCAGCACCCAAGGGTGCAGGCTTCATCGGATAAGAGCTCTCTGCTTGGCACCTAAGGACTTGTTGCAGAAAACGCTGGAGGAGGGCAGCTGTGGTGGACCTGGGCTGGGAAAGTGGTGGGAAGGAGCTGGCAGAACGTGGCCCAGGGGATGTCGGTGCAAGAGGTGGCAGCTGGGAGAGCGCTGATGGATAGACGTGAGGGTGCAATGTCCCATGCGTGCTTGCACAAAGGAAAGGAGTGTGAGGGAGTAAGGGTGGGTGGCTGCAGTTTCCCAGGAATTTATGGATTTCCATGTTAGTGACAAAGGTGTCCCTAAGGGTGGTGAAACAGCATTGTCTCCGGTTAGATCAGGACTCAGCTGCAAAGGGTGGGGTGCTGCAGAGGGGTTCTTTAGCCTGGCACAGGATGTCTGGGGCTCTTGGGAAGAGTCCCTTGGGAATCGCTGGTTTGAGCACAGAGCCTGAGGTGGAGCAGCCCTGGGGACACAGCTCCCCGCTCCCCACCGGGGTTCCACAGCTGCCCGGGTGCCCACCCTGCAGTGCCACGGTGCTCCCCTGCTGAAGGTCACAGCAAGGCCAGGCTGCACCCGGCCACACCACCAGCAATGGGAGGTGCCAGGGTGATTCCCACCACCAGGGTCCTCCCCAGCCCTCCTGGCCACCTAGGAGGCCTATGCTACTGGCCCATTTGAGGGGCACTTGGAGCTCTGGTGACGAGAAGCTCCCCAGCCGCTGCTGTGGTGGGACTGGCCACTGGCCAGTGCCACTACAGCAGATTGTGCTGTCCCTGTGCCCAAGCCGTGCTGCTGCAGGGCTGTGACAAGGGCAGGGTGGCCGGGAGCTGCAGGGTGCGTTTTGGGTCGGGGCTCCCCCTCCTGCAGACCTGCAGGGTCCTGGGGCTTTACCTGCGAGGGGGCTGGGGTCTCACTGCCCACACCCAGGTGCCACGGAGAGTCCCAAGCACACGCACAGCCAGACGGAGCCTGGGAGGGTTTTGCAGCGCTGGAGCTGGCCTGGGGAAAGGCTGATGGGCCCCCGGCATGGGGGGATGAGGGCCACTGCATGGGGGCTGCTTCTGGGGCTCGCCTGCCCAGCCCCAGCCCCACAGCGACAGGGCTCACACCTCCAGCTCTCTGCTGATGGCTCTTCTGGATTTTTCCATTCCTAATCAAATCACATCAGGTCGGATTTCCCTCCCGAGCTGCCTTCCTGCTGGCTCAGCGGGGCGCAGATGCAATCAGCCCCATGCCAGAGCAGGCGATGGCAGGACTCAGCAGCTCAGGCAGGTCCTGCTCCACAGCCCGTGGGTGCCTTGTACTCTTTGGAGGGTGAAAGGTGACAGCAGGACAAGGAGCACTGAGAAACTGTTGCTGCCTGTGCCCTGATCTGCCTGCTGGAAGGAGACCTGGAGTGGACAGGACTTGGTAGGCAGCTTATAAAACCGGTTGGGCTTTCTCTGTCCCACTCACCAGGATTCTGGATTTCACAAGGTCTGAAACAAGAGCCTCCCACCCCCCCCTTCCCTCCCCGCAGCCACCGGTGGTACTGCCTGTGTGACGGTGCTGGCCAGGAGCTCTCTGCCCTACTTGTGCTGGCTGTGGCAAGGCGTCCTAGACTCCAGCTGCTTCTCCTAGGTTCCCATGCTACCCATCAAATGTCCAGGGCTAACAGGCATGAAGGGCAAGGTGGAAACAGCCCATGCACGTCCCGCCGGGAGATGTGCATGAGCCACACACCAGTGCTGTGCAGGAGGTGGCAGCACTGGGAACACGCTGCGTGTGTCAGCCACCAGCAGATAATGCAGTTGTGCTCCAAGCTGGGTGCAGCTGAGGCACCAAGAGGCTCCTCTGTTCGGTGCTGAGCCGGCCAGCACCAGCACCCTGCCCTGCCATGGTGGCACCAGTGCCTATGCTGAGGTCCCAGTGGTGGCTGGAGATGTCCCCTTTAGGAAGAAGGGAATTAGCCTGGCTTCTTCCATTTCTGGAGCCAAAGGGGTGAGTTTGGCTCTGAAGTACCCACCAGTCCTGCTGCCAACCTCAATGGCCATGGGACCTTCCCCATGGAGCCTAGCCTCAGGACATGGTCTAGTATTTGGCTGCAGGACACAGGGCACCGACAGCCTTCACTTCTCCCATGGTTTCACCCAAAGCTGTTGTACCTGCTGCTGCCCCAAGCCTGGAAGTACCCTCTTGGAGTCACCAGAGGATACGTGGCTCTTCTAGCTTAAACATGAGGGGAAATAAAGGGCACAAATGTGCCTTTAAATAGCCCGGCAAGGGCAGCTCTCCCAGGAGGAATGCTCTGGCTGGCCTGGTGGAACACGCTCGTGGCCAGGGCACAGAGGGACAGCCAGGCAGGGCCAGCTCCTGGCCAGGAGGGCAGGTCAAGGTTAGGCATTGCCTGGGGCAGGCGCCACTGTGCCGTGCTTGGCACCACGGGAGCAGGGCCTTGCACGGGGGAGGGAGACGTGCCAGGCCAAGGTCTTGCCGAGCCCAGGGCTGGTCTGCAAGGCGGCAGCAGAGCCGGGCAGGCGCTGCTGACCACAGCCTGCCCACCGACCTGCACGGGGCTTGGCACTGGCATGCAGCAGCCTGTCAGACAGCTCAGACGGTCCAGGAGCGGCTGCCACGCTCCTGTCCGGGCTGATTCATGGCCTGGACATGCCGGCGTTTGGATAGTGTCCACCTGCGGGTGTGACAGCATGGAGCCGTGTCCCCGGGGTGCAGGGTGCCAGCCCAGCTGCGTGCTGGAGAGCAGGATGGGAGCGGCGCAGACTCCACTCCCCTGCTCTGTGGGGCGTTCTGGTCCCCAGGGACACGGCCGTGGCTGTGGGCAGGGTGGGGAGACACAGAACATCTCCAGATGGAGACACCTGGATGACAGGGAGGGTGGCTGTGTACCTGGTGTCGATGTGCCCGCTGGCTCTGCTGGGGCACCCAGCTGCCAGGGACGCATGACAGGAAAGCAGCTGCCAGGGAAGCCCCAAACCTGGACCTGTGAGGTGCCAGAAGGGGAACAGGGGAGCAGCCAGGCTGCAGGGGGCAGGGAAAGGGAAA